AACGGATGTTGGGATTCACCCCTCCCCGCCGCATGGCTCTGACATGGCTCTAGGCTTTGTCCTCCCTGTGCGAAACTGTGACTGTGAGCTGCCTTGTTTGGGTCTGGGGCCTACTGAGCCTGGAAAGCAGAACTCCCGAAATGGGCTTGGGACTGTGGTCACGGAAGGGTTTGCAGAAGCAACGTCCAAGAAAAGTCCTAAGGGGGGGTGGTCTCCAGATGATTCGTTTCGGGCATTGAACGGTACAATTTGATCAGACGCCAAGGCCCATGTCCGCTGACACCTTCTCAAAAAAATGGATGCATTACCCACATTCAATTAACACTCCATTTCTGTAATACAACTGAAATGGACATTGGTTTCACACATCCATTTTGCAGCCATTCTGCACTTTTCAAGGATGTCCGTTCTGTGCCATAGCGGTCGTTATAAGTTTAGGGCTTATTGGGTTTAGGGTTTTTATGGATGGGGTTTCGGGCTTGGAGTTGGGACGGGTTTAGGGTTCAAGGTTCAGGGTTTTTGGATGCCTCTCCTCGGAAGGCTTCCCATTTGGAGGCCAACTCATCGACCGACAGTTGCAGCGTCTCGTCTCTTTCGCTGCTGGAGCTATCTATGAAATCGAGGAATATATCTGCTGGGTTGGCCATGCTGGGAATGGGAGCTTCCAGCACCTTCTCGAAGTAGTCAACGCAACCGGCAACAGGTCCGGAATAGACCAGGTAGCCACCAGTGGCCAAAAGGACAACATTGTCAAAGAACTCCTTGGTGCCAATGAAATGAGCAACCCTGTGGATATTAACTATGCAGGTGCTGATCTTTGGTCACGCGCATGCTCGGATGCCATGAATGTCACGAGCCCTATCTGGTGACAAGACCCCGGCATCCGGGATGGATTGCGAAACGCTTAGGGCGCGACCAGAGTCTGCCAGCGGGGCTGATGGATCACGGCCACAGTGGTGCAGTGCTGCCGCGATCGTCCACACAGAAGCTTCACAATGGAGTGAGCTGCCGCCGCATCCTCGCAGCTTGTTTCGGGAGAAGCTTTGTCCATCTAGGGCATTTGGGTTGCTTTTCCCTAAACCTCAACCCTAAACGCTAAACCCCTAAAAACCCCTAAACCCTAAACCGTTCTGGAGGCGGTCCAGTCCACTTGTGGGTTCATCCAGGAAGAGCACGGAAGGCTGGCCGACCTCAGCCACATGCTCCGACAGGCTACTTGGTAGGAGTCCATTGCATGTAGGCCCCAAAACCTTTCTGCCACATCTTAGCCTCAGTTTTGTTACCAGTCTTGCTTTTGTTGTTGTTAGTATATATTCTCAGGATTCCTCGTGCTATTGCAATTGTTGTTGCTATGTCATGAGTATGGATAAGATCGTTATTCTTGTTGTTGCCGTTGCTGCTGCAAGCGTTCTTGTTAGCGTTACTACAACAGGTTATCCCTACTATTATTTCTATACTACGTTACTTTTTTGCCACTATTTTGTGTTATTGTAGTTATTCCTACTACTTGATTTTTGTGGTATTTGTGCTGCTATGCTTTCTGTTCTTGTTCTTCATAACTACAACAATATACCTGCTGCCATCATGATGAATACTAGCGTTTTTGTTCGTATTCTTCTTCCTTATATATAGTTCCCATCAGGGCGAGGGGCCAATTCCATGGCGATCGATGTGCGCTTGCGCTGACCGCCACTAATTCCCCGTACATCGGCGTTGCCTGAGGCAGCAGGCTTCGGTGCGCCTACTGCAGGTGTCGAAGCTCTCTTGATGCCTAGCTGTCTGCAAATGTCATGCTTGCTAAATGAGCTGAAAGCCATCCCTCCATTGCTTGACAAGTCTCCAACCACCGTGTCTTTGACATGCCAGATGCCCACATCGTGGAGAACTGTATTGACTCGTTCAGAGAATCCTGCTAGCGGAGTGTTCGGCGGAAGCCTCAACCGGGCCGCGAAATAGACATTCTCGTACACCGTCAGCTCCTGGCTGCGCTGCGCAGGCTCGGCAGTCCAGCACTTTTGTTGGAGTTAAAGTTCTTGTGCAGCAGCCGTATAACTTAATCTGCACCTGAACCACGGTTTGGGTGCAGTCCAGCCCCAGCTCTACGCAGCAAGCCAGACAGGGAACATGCTAGAGAAGGTGCACCTTCAAGTCCAGTTGCCTGCGCTAAAAACCATAAAACCTGTATCTGCACTCTGCATCCTCCAATGGTGTAGGGCGTGGAACTTACTTTTCGGAAGGAGCATGCGGCTCATTTCTGAACCATTGCTGAAGAGGGGCGGTATGCATGACGTCATCCTGGGGGACCTCGGCTTGGGGTTGTGCACTCTGGGAATATCTGGGAATAGGGTCTTTGGGGAATGGGCTTATAAATACAAGAGTGTAGGCCCCGCAGGTCCGAGTCAAGGGTTGTCAGTGTGATTGAGAATAAATTCTCCGTTGTTCGTGACACGTGGCGGAACGCATAGTTCCGGTCCAGCCACGACTTTTGCAGCTCTGGGGTGAGGCAAAAAACCATCACTGTCGTCGAAGCCATGGTCGTCATCACACTCGTCATACTCACCAGACCTATCCCAGCTGTTTGGCCACCTTGAGCACCATGAACCAAGCATGTGCAATCTGCTCTGTTGCCTTCATCCACAACTAGGGCATCAAGGTCAGACTGCTCTTCTCCTGCCCAGTCCATGTCCTTAATACCAATATCTGCCTTCTCTATGCCTTTACTATCCTCATCACTGTCGCTGTCACTCAGAGTGCCAATTACACCATGATGATCGATAGAAGTAGCAGCATCACCATCTTCGTCTGCATCGCCATCATCACCACCGTCGTCCCTGGCACCACTATCAACGCCAACATCGTCATAACAACACGTGGAGCATGTTGCCTGTAACAATCCCCTCCTCAACATCACCCTCACGACACCATCACCGTCATCATCATCATCATCAACAACATCATCATGATCACCATCATCGTCATCACCACTATTTTCCTCATCGTCACCATCACATGACCACCGCCATCGCACTAGCAGCAGCTGCAAGTATTCAAGTGTTCAACGCCAGGTAGCTGTCTCAAAGCCGTAGCCTAAAATTCTCAAAGACAACATCCTGCTTCATCCTGTCCCGATTCGGCGCCCTTAATCCAATGCCCCAAGCTCAAGCCAACCCCAAAGCCTAAAGTCAAGGTCGAGAGGCAAATCCCGCAGAATTGCGCGTTTTCAAGTTGGACTCGACACCCTCTGGAATGGCTTCGCCATTGGCTTTCAACAGGCCGGATACGTCTCCTTTCAGACAAGAAGCGGTGCTGTCTCTTTAAGGGCGCAAGACTTAAACCCCTAAGCCCTAAGCCCTAAAGCCAACACGGAATGACGCTCCCGCGGAAGCTTCGCCGGAAGACCTCTCTCGAGCCCTCGACAGAGCCATCCGCTTGGCTTGGCAGCAACAGCAACCTTAAAAACTCAAGCCCTAAACCCCTAACCTTCAAACCCTAAAGCCCAAACCCCTAAACCCTTCACCTAAAATTTAAATCCTCGCCCCGAACACTCAAACTGAAATTCACAACCGCCGGGTCCATAGTGTTGCGCCCGGCCAGTGAGGACGTTCCTCAAGCACAGGCCATCACAGGATCGCTACAGTAATCCAATGCCCAAGGGTGTAGGTTTGCCCCCTTGTTGCCGGAAGGAGACATGTTGTTCTTGCGCTGACTGCAATTCAAACTGGGAAACGGGTAACCCCAGGGAGTACCGTTCCTAATCATCCGGGTCCCTTTTTTGAATAAACTGTGATGGTTATTAGTTCATGACGACTCAGGCGTAGCCACAAAGCAGGGTGCAGAACCTTTGGGAATCTTCCCTCCCAGAAGCCTCCAGAAACCCAAAGCTCTAGCGAAAGCCTTAACCCTAAATCCTAAACCCTAAATCTACACCCTATAAGCCCTAAATCCTAACTCCTACAGAATACGGTTGATGATATCAATCCTGCATTACCCATAATAAGGAATATACCATCATTCCCATAGTTTAGGGTCCTTAAGGTAACGCAGGATTTCGATCATCAACAGTAGTATAAGGTTTGATGATCTTTTAGATCGCTTCAGAGGGCTTCTCAGGAAAGCGACTGACGAGCCTCACGATTTTGTCCGATACTCTGTTTAGGGTTTAGGGTTTTGAGTTTTTTCCCTAGGGTTAGGGTTTTGAGTGTAGGGTTTAGGGTTCAGGGTTTAGGGCTTTGAGTTTGGATCCTTGGCACACACGCAACACTGAGTCCTAAACGCTTTTGCTGCAGGCTTGCATGCAACAACGCCTAGAATGACGATTTTCCCAGAAAATCTCCGGTCATTAAAACCGAACTCCCAAAAAGCCGAACTCCTGGGGCTCTGAGGGCTTTGAAACGAGCTGTGCTACGTCTTGACACCCCGAATCCTGAGATGATCAGATCCGAAGGTCCGAAACCCAGAATCTGGGTTTAGGGTTAGGGTTGAGGGTTGAGGGTTGAGGGTTTAGGGTTTAGGTTTAGGGTTTAGGGTTTATGGTTTCGGGTTAACTGGGTTCAAAAAAAAACGCTTCTTTCACGATCCTTAACATCGGCTTAAGCGTTTCGGGGCCTAGGGTTTAGGGCCGAAAACCCTTTAAGTAGTCACGCGAAAGCAAAAAAGTGATGCTTTACGCCCTAAATCCCTGAACCCTATAAACCCTGGCATGCACACTTTAGAGCTCCTGCGCTAAGCTCTAGGGGTTGTTTTTCCAACCCGGGAGGCTCTGAGTGAAACCCCGAGCCCAGAAATCAGAAAAAAAACCACGGCTCATACAACGCCGTAGCGGATCAAACATAGTGTCTAGGAGTTAGGAGGCCTAGAAGAACGAAAACTAGACTATCAAAACATATCAAGGCCCTACAACACCATCCGCAGAATCTGCGTGAGAGGTGAGAGGATAATACGGACCGAGATGCAATGTTCTACTTTAGTATCCGGAACCCTAAACCCCAATAAAGTATCCCTACATCCTTATCCCAATTGAACTATCTTTGTCAAGCCGTAAACCCTAAACCCCAATAAGTAGCCCTAAACCCTGTTTAAAGTAGAGTCTCAACAGACTGGACTTGCCACTGCCAGAAGGGCCCATGAGGGCGCAGCTGCTATCCTCAGAGAGTTAGAGCTAGACTGGACGCGTGCGAGGCTTCACTGATTTTTGCAAGACTTTTAGGGCTTGGGGCTTGGGGGATATTTGGGTTCTTAGGGAATCTTAGGAATAGGGTTTTGGGTTTGGGTTTTATTCTAGCAGTTAAGGTTTAAGTGTGAGCTCTGCTTCACATGAGGGCTAGTGATTGAACGGTCACGAACACCCAGCTTATCCAACAGCAGCTCCGCTTAAAACCAGCTCAAACCGCAGACACAAAGCGCACCACACGAAAGCCTTAAGACTCTGCGTGCGCGAGAGTCTGAGAAGCAGCTGAACCTCGGGAGGGTCAGCAACCTGGGCTTCCCAAAGATACCTTCCGGTCTCACCGGAGAACCTCTCTCGGATTCATGTAAGGTAGGGGCCTGGGGAATTAGAGCAAAGTTCTTAAGTCTTAAGGGTTATTGCAACATGTTTTCTAATGAAGAACTATGTGGAATAAGACTGGTAATCAATTTGGGTTCTATGTTAGAACCCCTTCACAACTTGAGGTGTAGAGTTCAGAAGCGACTTCGACAGCAGGTTGGGGCCCGGGAAAGGGAAGCCTAGCCAGTCCCAAAAGCCTAGGCCTAGAACCCCAAATCGCTCCGGGCCCTTGCAGAACAATGCAACAACCAGCACAAGATCAACCTAAACCCTAAACCCTAAACCACAACCCTAAACCCTAAACCCTAGACCCTAAACCCTAAACCCTAAACCCCAACCCTAAACCCTAAACCCCAAGATCCCAAGAGAAGAATTGAGCTGCGAGAACGCCCAGGGTCGGGAGGTGTAGGAGTCGCCCCTGAACCCTACCAGCGGATCAACATCAATTCAATATCAAGCGTCCGCAGGGATTTCAAGCGAAATGTTGCGCAGGACCTCGGGTAGGTAGTTTGGGGTTGAAGGCAGAAAGAAATGAATCTACATGCCAGCTGTAGGCTACGAGGACTCCCGTGTCAATGTCAGGATCTCGGGCATCAGAGGCTTAGAAATGCACAAGGCCAAGAAGCATGCAAGATCAAACTCTCTTTCTCGGACGACCAAGAAAGCGAGGGAAAGCTGTTCCGAATTCTGAAGGGGATTGAGGGTCAGACCTGATATGTGTTACAAGTTCACTCTGCGCAGGGCAGCAAGCCAAGTGGTGCAGCCAGACACAGCTTTCGAAGCGATGATACTGTACTTGCATAAGCAAAGCATAGCAGCCTGCACGCTGCAAGATGCACGGCCGTGATCGAACACAGGCTCTATGTAGAACAACACACACACAATGGTGCAAAAGCCGTCCCGGCAAACGAACTACCTGACCAGAAAGGCTGGCCTTGAATGGAGCACATCTATGGACGGAGGTCCAGGGTGGACATGTGCATGTAAATATAAAGAAAATAAACATAAACAAACTAAACATATATATATATATAAATACACACAATGGAGAGACAGTGCTCAGACAGATGTGCGTGTGTGTGTGTGCATTTATGCATGTGTAAAACCAACAAACGATAAGCAAATCCACTGGTTACGACATTGTATAGATATATACATAAGCAGGGCCGGAAAATCGGAAGACACTCCTGATGATGTAACTTCTTGCCAAGGGGCCAGCTTGTCTGCACCCCGAATCCGCAGGCTCATATCCTTGAACACCCAGAAGGTCTTACAGTGGCTCTGTGTGTTTTTTAGGAGTTTTACGAAGTTGGAGCTGCTCACCGCTGTTCTTTTTCAACTTTAAGCAGGCTACCACCCTAGTCTTGCCATGGATTTCCATCCTTCCGTTCCTTAGGCCTAAACCCATAAGCCCCAAACCCGCGTGGAGATTAAGAGCCCCGCGCCTTACGTGGCCCGGAACCCCGACATGTCTCAGGTTACTGATTATCTTAGTATTATTTTATTACTATTACCTTTATTTTTAATACCATTGTTATTCTTAGGCGTAGGATTGTTACTACCATTCTTCCTATTATTCTTCCTGCTATGTGATTAGTTTTTTTTATCTTATTGTTGTATCTATGTGTTGTCTTTTGAATATGATTGTTATATATATATACATACATATATATATATACACACATTTTACTATGTTGTGTCACAGGAATACACCGTGCCGTATTGCATTATGTTGTATTCTCAGGAGACCGAAACCCTACTCGCCCAAAGCCCCAAACCCTGATCACTGAAAGCCTTTAACCCCCAATCCGCAAAACCCTGAAAGCCTCGAAGCTCAAGCCCTTGAGAACCCGGTATGGGGGAAAGCTTTTGCAGTTTGGGCCTTCCTGAACCCTGAATGACTTACCTTCTTAGGGTTCCTTGTTATGAACTCCTTATATACGTCACCTAAAGGTGGATTTTCTAGTCCTTATCTTGAATTCATTTTATATTTCGCCAAACAAGTAGGCTTTCTGCTCCTGATTTGGTTTTTTTATATAAGTGACGAAACTGCTTACATTGAATGCTTTGTGAAAGTCACCGCAATGGTAGGAAAGTGTAGGCAAATCAGGCTTTGGGAGCAAAGCTTCGCGCATCTCGAAGGCCAAACCCGCAGCTCCCGCCCTGGCCCTGGGACGGGGCTCCTGGGAGATGACGCGTTGGGGTTTTAGGGTTTGGGGGGTTTAGGNNGGGTTTTAAGGGTTTTAGGGGTTTAGGGGTTTAGGGTTTAGGGTTCAGAAGATGATGCTTGGGGCTTAGGGTTTGGGGTGTAGGATTTTTGACTTCGAAACTTGGGGCCTTCGGGTGCTGCGGTTTAGAGTGGCGTTTTGAGGCCTTAGTGGTAACAGTTTATAAGGGAGCTTTATACATACCATAAGTAGTAGGATCCCTGGATATGGTTTTGGCCCTGCAGGGTTTAGGAGTTTGAAGATGCGGATCCCTGAGGAGGTAGTGTTCGGAACCTCAAAGTTGCAAGACACCGCACTTGTTAGAGAAATCGGGCTTATGATTTGGAGTTCTAGAGTTTGGGGTTTGAGTTCTGGTTGTGGCGTTCCCTGCCCACGACACCGTTAACCCGCTACAGGGCTTTAAATACCAAGAGATGCTACGGGATACCGATCAGGGGCCATGTATGTGTAGGGATTTACACTAAATATTCAAGGCTAATTAGCATCTTTGCCCAACTTTGCAACGATGAGGCCTGTTCTGAATCTGGGGATCCACTGGATGTCATCTCCGTCTCCAGTAGAAAGGCCTGCAAGCAGGCTCTTTTTCGGCAGGCCGCCTTCACTCAGAAGTCAAGTTTTCTGATTTTTACGCTGCCGTTTCAAGAGTCTTAGTCTTAGGATGATGACTTCAAGGGAACCAATGCATATACGGTGCAGCGCTGCTAGCCCCCTTCCCCCTCCCCCTGAGATGTAACTTGGGCGTGTGAACCCTCGCAAGGCGTACAGGCACACAAGCACGCAAGTGTCTCTTTTAAAAGCTATCCGGCTGAAGTCCAGATACTCTGCTATGCTA